TATGCTGACAGTTTGCGTATGTATATTGTGTTATACAATGTATGCAGATAAAACTATTCAGACTGTTCAGGTAACAGAAAAAGAATAGTTAAAAAATTAATCTGTGATTCAGACATTCTCTAAAAGTTACTAAGCATACTACTATAAGAACCTATATATCATCTGAAAGCTTAGATGAATCAGCGGTGCATACGCCATACCAATCAATGTTTATCTATGAGATTTTCGTGAAAAACAATTTCACTATTGTTATTTTTGACTATTCCAACTATGTAATACTTTCAGTCATGCAAATGACCTGTGAATTGCACAAGATGTTCATAACGTCTCATGTGTTTTTTTATCTGCCTTTGTTTTTTCTCACTGAGTCTGCATAATTATGACATGATACTGACAATATCTGTTGGACACTTTTTACATGCTGTTGTTAGAAAACTAAAACATAGATAACAAAGTCAAGACACAGGTTTCTTGTACATTATCACGAAAAAATGCTTACAAAAATCAACACTCTTAAATGAATGTGGAACAAAGGAAACCTTGCAATGGGTAAAACTACTCTTAGATTTCTTTGACCTACAAAAATTGGCCACCAAGTAATCCCTTAGACACTACTACATGTATATCTAATAAATAAACTAAAAGAATGTCTGAATCAAAGATCAATTTTTCCCCCTTTGCTACATGTACCTTAAAGGAGCACTTTCAGTTAAGCTTAATCTCACAACAAAATTACTTTCTGGATTAAAATAACAATGGATAACAAAAGATAGATTAACTTTGTAAACAACATAAACAATAGTGTCCCATGATTCTTTGGTGCAATCCCTGGGATTGGAAGTTTCCCCTTCAATTACAACGGATTTATAATTAATTAATCCATTAATTTTTTCCCTTTTTGCTACCATAATTGCAATGGATTAATCAATTAATTGATCAATTAAGTCTTTGAATGCCATAATTATTTCAACCAATATTTTGTACATTTTTCTATAATTCCTTTATTAATTTGGAGAAAAATTGACAAATTGCTTACATGTATTGAACAAAAATTGATATACAGAAAAAATGATGCTGTTCTATTTTGTAAAAGGCAAATATACATAGACTGTATTATTTGTTTATAAGAAGGAACATGAATATTTTATTTAATATGTGTGACTTTAAACTCGGTATATTATATTATGATGGTACATGGTTATTTCTACACACAAATATCCATGGAAACGCAGAATCACTGAGTGGTAAATTGGCAGTAATATTCATTCCAGCTATATCCCACAGGGTCATGTTAGAATATGAAAATAAAATGCAGGAAGCCAAAGATAAGATGACACAAGTTCAAGTTCAAAGTTTCAATAGACTATGATTAATGGCCAGTTAAGGAATTTTGTTCTTGTTCTTTAAACAATATTGGTCAAATAATGTCTGACAAGCTAGATATGTAAGACACAAATTATAAATTAAATTTGATGTTCGAACAGGGACTACAGCAGAATTGCCAGTATAAGCTATAATTGTCTTAATATCAAAACAGGAATTAGATACATATACAGTTACATGGCAAATAGTCAGCCATCTTTGATTGAATCATATTAAGTTGTGTCTTGACTTTTAGTCTATCAAAGTCAATTTTGTAACCCATATAATTTTATTCATATTTTTTCTATAATTTTGATCAGTACCTATAGCCAATAAGAAATTACATCCATTTAGTTCAAAAGTAGTTTAAAAAATTATGGAAGAATACAACTAAATATTAAAGAATGGCACCCAAAGAGTTAATGAAATTGTGTTCAGTATTGTGATATAATATCTAAATTTACCTGTATTACACTTCCATATTGTATCATTGTCCCCATTAACTTCTTATTCTCAGCGTCATTTTGCTTTTTCTCCAGCTCTGATGCATGCTACAAAGGCAAAATAAATAAATAAATGTAAATTACATATGTACATTTTGTACTGCATGTACATGTGAATAAACACTACCCAAAGATAAAGGTTTCCATTATTGAGTAGACATCCAGATTTTGAAATGATACGATTGAAATACAGCTTTCTTTTCAGACTGTGTATTATTAGAAATATACAAGCAATCAGTCTTAGTGGACAGTTATTGGCTTGCTAGCCTGCCTAATGAAACCACTACAGTTTGTTTTCTACAGTGACAGTTTCTAATTCTGGCGCTATTATAAGAAGTTAAAATGATAGGCATTCAGATGGTTTGTTCAAAGGAAATGTGATTAGAGAAAGAAATTACACAGAGAATGGCTTTAAAAAATAGGCCTGTCTAGAGCATTACATGCTATAGTTAACTTATACAACAGCTTATATATTTTAGTGAAATAAACAATGTTCTTTTGATTTCAAAACAAAATATATTCAATTTAGTATATAACAGCCTATTCAGTAGGTGTACACTTAACATAATTTTAGAAGTCTAGAAAAGATTTAGTAATATTTCAATAATTTCTTCTGTTCAAATTGAAATCAGATCTTGTTGTGATTTCCAACTTTCACAGAAAATCTTCCTCAAAAGTATTGTTCATATTTGTTCATTTTCCTGAACATTTATATTATTTTCAATTATTTAGCTGGATAGAAAAAGTCCTGCATAGATTTTAAATGTTGTTTTTCTTTCAATAGCCAATTACAATGCATGTCATTGTGGAAAATGTGGATAAAATTATAGAAACGTCTCTTGAAAACAAAACTTTCATTATGGATGGCAGTCAGTATACTATTGTGCTTGTAAGTCCTCTTTTTATTTTACTTTTTTTAAATATTTGTGTACAAGGCAACAGTTTTAGATATTGAATGTGTGCAAACCATTTTGATACAGAAACAATATAACATGTTTGGAACTACATGTACATGTATGTGACAATGGTATCATTGCAATTTAATGCACTATCCTAGCATCAACCAGGCTGGTCAACCACAAACACAAGCGAACCTTTACCAAGGTTCCCTCAAAATTAGTGAATGGTGTAGGATTTGAACTTGGGTCTACCAATAAGGAATTCTATGCACTAATAAATACAACTATAAGCACTATAATACATTATACATGACATATGGCCATATACTCCTATACATGCATACTTATGGTTTGGGCTAATGTCTGTTTAATGGATCACATAACCATTGTGAATATCATTAACTTTTGAACATAAACATTTATGAGACTGCTAAATAGATTAATTAATGTTTTTATGTGTTTTTTATTGGACAAGTCTGGTGGCAATACATTCACTAGTGCTTGTTCTCAAGTCAAATGGATATAATAATAATAATAATTTTTTTTTACACCATAATGATTATTTTGGCTGAAACAGAAGGTTAAAATAACATA